TACGATTACTAATGGAAATGAGATTAAGACGCTTTAAACGTTCAGAGTACGGGATACTGCCTGTGGATCTCGGAAAGCAGATACGCGTAACTCGTCTTTGAACGGACTCAAGAGTAGCAATATCTTTTTTATAGAATGGAATCCAGGCAGGAATACCGTAATCTATAAAAGGCCTAACTACAGCTACGTACAACCTCAAAATTATATCTTTATCGTGACATTTAACGATACGTCTCACAAAACCTAACATGCGGTTGCTTTTAGACCTAATATATTGGACATGTTCATTCAAGTAAGTTTACTGTTCAAGTTAGTACCAAGGTACTTTACAGAAATGGTGACTGGAAGTCTAGCATTTCCAATAAAATCATCACTAGCCCGTTCAAGACGATTTCTGGATCTAGTCAGGTGCATCACCATACATTTATCAATATTTAGTAACATTTTATTTCTCACACACCAGTTAGTAATAGCATGAAGATCAGATTGTAAAATATATTCATCATTATTATTATTATCATTATTATTATCATTATTATCATTATTATTGTTATTATTAGGCCTATTATTATTATGATTATTATTATTATTATTTCTGATGACTATAGATTAGTGTATCATCAGCATATTGATATATCTGTGATTGAATGCAGGAAGGGAGGTCGGACACAAAGAGATTAAAGAGGATTGGCCCAATCACTGATCCCTGCGGGACTCCGGATTTAACCAATATATCCTCAGATGTTGCACCTCTAAATTTGTGATCTGTAGGACAGGTAAGACCTAAACCAGTCCAGCATTGAATCACAGATACCATAATTGTGAAGTTTATTTAAAAGAATTGTATGACTAACTTTATCGAAGGCCTTGCGCCAATCGAGAAATATCGCATCAATATGAGGCGGCGAACGTTCATCAAGTATTTTAGACCAATCAGTTACTACGTCAGTTAACAACGTAGTACATGACCTGCCATTGAGAAAACCATGCTGGTTATCTGGGAGAAGTTTGTTGTCATTAAGAAAAAACAAAAATTTATGAGCAACAATTCTCAAGCAATTTACCAATAGTAGAACATAAAGAAATCGGTCTATAATTAGATAAATCACTACAATCACCTGACTTATGAATAGGAGTAACATCGGCTACCTTCATTTCAGTGGGAAACACACCGGTGCTGAGAGATAAATTGTACTTAGAGGTTCAACTATATAAGGAGCAGCAATTTTAATCATGGTTGTAGTAATACCATCAGGCCCCGGAGCTTTACCAGATTTTAGTTTGTTAATTAATGATAATATCTCAGCACCGGTAGTTTGAATACCAGTGAAAAGAGGGTAGCCAAAATGTGAGATACACGAATCATTAGAAAAATCATAATCAGGATCGTCAGAAGTAAAATTGGATGCAAATCTTTTATTGAAGGCCTCGGCTATAGTTTTCGGAACGTTAAACTGGGTACCATCAATGACAAATGTATCGGCACCGTGATTAGCCCTTGAGCCCCTAACAAACGACCAGAAACTTTTACCGTGATCATTTTTATTTGGCAACTTCTTTAAGTACTTTTTATATGATTTTTTAATTCCGGATTTAAGATCGTTCCGAATGTGTTTATACCTATCCCGCTTAATATCATTATTTACAGATTTAATAGCAGCTTTATAAAATCTATTCTTTTTTCTTATTAAACGAAGAATTTCGTTTGTAATCCATGGCTTTTTAGGGCGTCGCTTAGCTTGCCTTAAGGGCACAACTTCATTAATAGCGGCAATAAAAACGGATTTAAAATTTGACCATAACATATTTACATCTTCGGAATCATAGTCCCACTCAATATTCGAAAATTTTTCAATAAAAATAGGAATACTAATCTTAGAGTAATCGTAAAACATGCCTACTGGTCTTTTTAGTTTCTCTTTTAAAATATTCAACTTAAATAAAACACCTTCATGATCACTGTCAACACCCGGATGAGGTTGAATATCAGTTATCATATCAGTATTACTAGAATATACATGATCGATAATTGTATTATTTGTGTCCTTATTATAATGTGTGTAGAAGTTCACACATTGCGTTAAATTTAAGACATCAACAGAGTTTTGCATGTTGCGTTGTTCCGAGGAGATTAGACCCGTAGATTTAAAATTAATGTTTAGGTCACCAGCAATAATTATTAGACTGTATAGATGCGAGTCCACCAAAACCTGTTCAATGCATTCCTGAAGCTTTTCAAAAAAGTCAACTTTGCTATTTGGAGGTCTATATAGCGTACCTGCTAGTATTTTCCTGTTGTTGGTTGTTATTGTACACCAAACAATCTCAATTCCGGCACAGGTACGGTATAACTTTGACAGGGAGTCGCACGAAGATCTTCATGAACAGCAAGGATAACGCCACCTCCGTGACGATTTCGATCATTTCGAAAGACTGCAAATTATTTGGGAAATATTTCAGAAGATTGTATGTGGCCGTCTAGCCATGACTCGGTCATAAACACGACGTCAATCGACTCGGATACGAGCAATGACTGTAGTCGTAAAGACTTATTAACAATACTGTGTGCGTTAAGATTAATACATTTAACAGCTCCAGATAATTTATTCACGGAATGGTTGGTTATGTAACCGTTCCGCATACCACCTTCATCTTCGCCATTTTGCGGTCCTGGATTTTGTTCGATATCCCCGCATAGATACAGTTTATTAAATGAATCCAAAACAAAAAACGTTTGAAAGGTAGAAGTTGAATTATTGTACCTCAAATACGGTGCTGAGAAATGTCCATGATGAGTGTTTCGTCGCAGAAATCTAGGCCTAATTTGAATCGGTAGTAGTCCCGGCCGACTATCCCTTTGCCTGGGTTGGTTAAGATATACCAGTCATTTAGGTAAAACGATCTACCTTAAATTTTCTTTCTTGAGTTTGGGACTACTATGTGTTGAAACAACACATGGAGCTGCCGGCCCGGGGGCCCCAGTAAATTTTTAAAATATTTTTTAACTGGAGATTAAAAAAAAATCAATCATATTCACAATTTTATGTCTGTGAAGTGCCATTTCCGACCAACTAAAGTGCCATATTCATAAATTTTCTTACCTCAGCCCCAGCCGTGTTGGGTCTGAGGTGGTGTAGATTCTCCAACTGTGAAAGTCCCTCCCTGGTCTCAACTTTCTGGATCCATATTATATCATTTATTCGTCGTTAAAAACATCTAAAATCTCACGATGGAATTGGTGACCGGGACGCAAAAAGGGCCCCCAGTTTTAGAAATAAACATGGCCCCCGGCCCCATCGTTACGCCACTGCCACCCCACCCCTTCATTTTTTAAGGGGAAAAAAATTCAAATTTAAGTGTAAGATTGTAATTTCAGGCCATAAAGATGCCCTATCATAACTTTTCTTACCTCAGCCCCAACCATGGTGGGGTTGAGGTTCCACTGTTGATTTATTATATAGTTATTGTTGCGCTTATTTACAATGCGCCTATTGCAATTTTCACTTTTTCCTCTCAAAACAGTCCTAAGAACGTTCAGAGTGCGCTACTTCACAGGAGATTCCCCCCTGGACCCTGCCGGGGTTACGTAATTCGCATAACGGCTCCCTCTTTCAAAATCCTGGTCCCTGGTTCTGAATATATTTCTCTTCTATCCCTGTTATTTATTATTATTATTATTAATTCACACACACACACAC